GTAGACAAGGCAGGTCTGAACAACTGATGCTTTGGGCAGTCCTAGAGTTTATTGATTTTTATCTCTTCCAATCTGACAGACACAAGTGGACAGACATCTGGTGGCCTGTGTTTAAAAATTTTGTTTTCCAGAAGAAAAAACATGAGAGATTTGCTCAAATCCAGCAAACCATATCAGTTCAAATTAATCAGATAGAAAAAAAGAGAGTGACTTAAGGAGCTACTTAACCTATTAGAAAACAGGCTGTGCCTTTCTGAAAGCAGAAGGGGGAACCATGGCCAAAAATAAAATATCAGTGCCATATATCTCTGCTGCAGAAAAGAAAGCAGCAAAAACGAATACTACTCAAGAATAGCTGAAAAGTAAAGAAAAGCAATGTTTCAAGGAGACCGGGCTTCTCATCTTCACCAGTCCCATAGGGCCAACACCTTCAAGAACCTCAATAAACTAAGGATGATAAAAACGGGAGGATGAGGAGCAAACATTCCCAAGGATAAGATTTCAGAGGGATGTGAAATTCTGGGGCAGCAGCCAGTGTGGGGCTGAAAATATCATTGCCCTGGCAACCCGGGAGAAGGAGAGAGGTGGCTTTGAGTCACTGGGCATGTGGGACACAGAGAGACGCTCTTCCTAGAAAGACGCTCTGCCTAGCAGTAATGGGGATCTAGCAAAGTGTTGGCAGACTGGACCAGGGGAGAAATACCTGGGAAACAGCTCCCTGTGGTGAGTGGCACCTGGTGGATGGATGTCACAGAGTGGTGTTGGATGTTTCATCGGAAGCCAGTTTCTTCTCTGACTTTCACTTGTCCCCAAATCTTCAAAAAGAGCTTATTATGCACTGCTCCCTCGTATTAGAGAATAAAGAAGAACGAGAAGGTTATGCAATTCGTTGTGTCTGGGGCCAAGGAGAGTGGGAGAGATGGGGGGTCTGAGATGAAGATCCTGGCAGAGTGACAAAGGCTGAGCCAGGAGGCAGGTGGTAAAGATGGATCAGGACACTGTCACCTAGAGTCGCCGTCATATACTGCCTTTCTCAGAGCTCCCCGGAGGGAAGGGCCAAGTCGCTGAGTCCCTGTGACAAGGACAGTCTCATGGTGTTGAAGGTGACACACCTTGGCTTTGGGGCCCTTGAAGCTCACCGCTCTGTTGCTTGGGTGAAGAGAAGCACCCCTTCTTCTGACGTGGCTTCTGGAGAAAGGTGCATAGTTCTGGACCACTGACCGTCCTCACCCCTGGAGACACTTGGCACCTTGCTCCAGGTCCAGGGGGGTCTAGAGTGGGGTGGGCCATGGGCCTGCCATTCCTCTCCATCGTAGCGCTTTTCATTCCAGTGATTTCCTGGTCGTCTTCACGGACCCTGAGCCCAGAGTTCCCAAAGCACTAAACCCAGTGGAGCAGAGACACTCCTGGCGCAGGTCTGGGGCTTGCTTCTCAGGGGCCGGGCCAGCAAGAGTGACTCAGCACGCGGGGCCAACTTTGTGCATGCATTTGGGGTGGTGGGAGGCGTGGTGGTGGGATGTGTGGCAAGCCTGTAACCACAGCAACGTTTTCCAAGCCTCATCTGCTTCAGAGCACCTGGGAATGGAGACATGGTTGGGCTGCACAGCGGTGTGCTTGTCACATTCCCTTGGAGAGGAGGTCATGGGCGGCTCTTCAGGGTGGAGTGAATGTGGCCCCTGTAAAGGGACAGCAGAGAGTTAGGGCAGTCTTTCTTCTTGTGTCTGCTCTTTTGACAAATGCCAAAACACTCCCCCAGATCGCCCTTGCCTGACATGTAAGTCTTTTTTTTTTTTTTTTTTTTTTTTTTTTTTTGCGTCGGGGTCTCACTCTGTTGCCCAGGCTGGAGTGCAGTAGCACCGCTCGTGGCCACCACAGCCTCAGCCTGCTGGGCTCAGGCGATCCTTCCACCTCAGCCTTCCAAGTAGTCGGGACTGCAGTCACGCACCACCACGCCCTGCTGATTTTTTGATTTATTGTAGAGACGAGGTCTTGCCGTGTTGCCCAGACTGATCTCGAACCCGTGGGCTCAGACAATCCACTTGCCTCTGCCTCCCAAAGTGCTGAGATTGCAGGCATGAGCTCCCATGCCCGGCCTAAATCTTAGTCTAAGTCAGTGTTCCCCCATTTCCCGGGATGCATTGGTCTCCCTGCCCAACGGCCTTCTGGGTGCCTGTGGGGTGAGTCTTCTTCTATATTCATCTATCTCAGAGTCTATCTTAGAAGATGTCCCCACAGCTGGTGAGGGCAGGGCAGGAGGCTGTTCTGGCCACCGGTGGGAAGCTGGAGGAGACAGGAGGAGCCAGGATGCGGGGGCGGGGGGGCTCAAGAGATGGGAATGGGCAGTGGCCTGGCGGGATTTGGAGGCTGAGGGGACCTGAGGGGAGAGGCTTAGGGAGGGGCAAAGATTTGCTGTCACAGGGACAGCCAAAGGTGCGGTGTCAGGAGACGTGCTGAGGAGTTCAGGTTGGGATGGGTCGAATCTGGAACGTCTGTGGAGTGTCCAGGCAGAGTGGACTTGAGCTCGGCGAAGAGCTCAGGCCAGAGATGGAGCTAGAGAGACAGATGAGAGCCCCGAGGACTTGGCATCCCCAGAAAGGGTTTACAGCACAGAGGTTCCCACACCCTGACGCTTGACATAACTGTTGTATTTTATGCGTTTATAGTTTGTATCATGAACATCATAATAATGGCAGAAGCCATTATGGGCTGAATTGTGTCCTCCAGAAATTCATGTGTCGAAGTCCCACCCGAGGACCTCAGAATGTGTCCGTATTTGGAGGTCGGGTCTTTAAAGAGGTAATTGAGTTAGCATGAGTTCATCAGGGCGGCCCATAATCCAGTAGGACAGTGTCCTTATAAGAGGACATTAGGACTCGCCGGCACAGAAAGACCATGTGAGGACGCTGGGAAAAGATAGCCATCCACAAGCCAAGGAGAGAGGCCTTGGGAGAAACCAGCACTGCTGCCACCTTGACCTTGGACTTCCAGCCTCTGGAACTGTGAGAGATACATTTCTGTTGTTTAAGCCCCCCCGGTCTGCGATACTCGGTAATGGTCGCCAGAGCAGGTTAATGCAGTAGCCAATACTGGACACTTCCAGTGTGCCAAATACTATTTTGGTGCTCTCCATATTTTCAGACATTTTATGTCCACAGCAATCGTCCTCATGGTAGGAAATACAGTCCCTGACTCAGTACAGAGTATGCTCCAACCCCGGCCCCCTAGCCTGTCCTCCCCTCCCCGTTCCAGCTCATGGGACATCATACCTCCAGGTCCTCACTTCCATCCCCCACCCCCATCATCCTCAGGTCCTCGGGATCCACGCTCAACAACCTGCTCTGGTTCCCAGCCCCCTACCCTGCTAGATTGTTCTTTGTTCTGCGTACTTGCCATGACCTGACATGAAGCCATTTGCAAAAGAAGAAACTCAGTCCTATTAAGAACTGCTACCACTGAATGAGCACAAACTCTCCAAAGTCTCACGTATTCTCTTACAGCTATGCTAACAAGCAGGGATGCATTATTATACTCCTTTTAAATTGGCTTTCTCTGAGGCTGAGGCTCAGGGAGATGAGGTAAGGTTTCCCAGGTCATACAGGAGCGGGAATGAGGCAGGAAGCTGGGTTGGCTGGGATAGTCCATGCCTGCAGGCAGGCTTCATGTGGAAGACACGGTTCCTGCTCTCTTCAAGTCGACAAACCCAAAGCCTGGGAAAGAAGGAAAGACCTGGAAATAGCAGTAGGGGTGTGTCTGTGCATATCCAGCTTTTGTCACTAAAATTCTTAGACTCTATGAATGAGGGCTAAAGTCTGCCTGTTTTGTTCTCTGCTGAATACTCGTTTTCTAATATAGGGTTCTAAAATATTGGAGGAAGAAGGGAAGGAAGAAAGGAAAGAAGGAAGGAAGGAAGAGGAAGGGGAAGGGAAGGAGGGAGGGAGGAAGGAAGGGAAGAGAGAGAAGGAAGAGAGGGAGCGGGAAGAGAGGAAAGAAGTAAAAAAGGAAGGAAAATGAAGGAAGGGAGGGAAAGAGAAGGAGAAAAGAAGGAAGGATATAAGGTTGCTGGGCAACTTGGTGAGACCTCATCTCTCCAATAAACCAAACAATTAGCCGGGCGTGGTAGCGCACGCCTATAGTTCCAGCTACTCGGAAGGGTGAGGCGGAAGGATCGCCAGAGCCCAGCAGGTCGAGGCTGCAGTGACCGGGAGCGGCCACTGCACTCCAGTGTGGGTGACAGAGTGACACTCCAACTGAAAAAAAAGAAAAAAAAAAAGATGGAATCCCTTATAAGCAATTCTGTGCATCACTTCTATAAGTATGTGAAGTTATAAATTTCTAACATTGAGTTTTATCCCATAAACCTGAGGTGAGTGGATTGCCTGAGCCCATGGGTTCAAGACCCGCCTGGGCAGCAAGACCTCATCTCTACAATAAATCAAAAAATCAGCCGGGCATGGTAGCACATGCCTGTAATTCCGGCTACTTGGAAGGCTGAGGCGGAAGGATCGCCAGAGCCCAGCAGGTCGAGGCTGCGGTGACTGGGAGCGGCCACTGCACTCCAGTCTGGGCAACAGAGTGAGACTCCAACTCAAAAAAAAAAAAAAAAGAAGGAAGGAAGGTAGAAAAGAAGGAAGGAGGGAAGAGAAAGACGAAGGAAAGAGGACAGAATGGCTCCCTCATGGGGCTTGACCTGTCACCCACAGAGCTCCAGTACTTGGGCCTTGACCTGTAAAGGATTGCAAATCCACCCTACTTCATTCTGCTCCCCCACAGTCTAGACAAGTGTCTCGTGTCCCACTGGTCACACGAGTGTGCTCAAAGGGAGCCAACGCAGGTGGAGGGCACTCCTGTGCCCAGCAGAGAACATGGGTGGGGCACTGCTTCACTGAGTGCCCGTGGGTGGGCCAGCCAGGGCCAGCCACAGCTCTACAAAAGGCACCTGGCCAGAGGACCTCGGGAGGGCAGTGGCTTCTATGCTTTCATCCCAGGAAGGGGCCAGGAAAATGGCCCTGGTCCTTGGGGTCTTCAGCCTACTGGGCTCAGCCTGCCTGGGGTCAGCCAATATCTTTGGTGAGTTCTGAGGCCATGAGGCAGGGATGGGGAGGGAGCTCCAATGTCGGCCAGGCTCTGCCCCAGGGTCATTGAATGTGCATGACCTAATTTAATTCCCATAATTTTCCAGATGTCAGTTACTCTTTCCTTTGCAGATGAAGACACAGTGATTCAGGGAGGTCAACAAAATGACCTGAACTAGTGATTGGTGGAGCAGAGATGGGAAACCCAATCTTCCTAATTCAGTTCTGGCTCCCCATGCCACAGCCTTTGAGAAAATTTTTGGCATTGATCTTGGCTTTTTATCTCCTTAGCTATCCCAAACTCAGTATCTTCCATGTGAGGTATTTGATAAGCAGAAAAAAAAAAAAATCTACCTAGGTAGGGAAATAGACCCAAGTCTTGTCCTTGGCATGGCCGCTTACCCACTTGACTTTGGGCAAAGTGTCTAGCTGTAGTTTCTTCATTTAAAAAAGCAAATAGCACTTCACAATGTGGTTGTGATTTCTGAGTAAGATCCTGCGTGTGACAGGGGTTCTCACTGGAGAATAAGACACATGTACGATACTGATTAATTTGTATTCTTGCTGTGTGCCGGGAAGGCGTGATTCTGCAGGGAGTAACGTGGCAAATTCAGAAATGATGTCCTCAGGTGTTCAGATCTGACCCAACAGCAGCACAAGGGTGAGAATGTGCCCTCTGGGATCATTCCTTGCCAGCTGTGTGACCTTCTGTTGTTTGGGTCTGGATGCCACATGGGTGGCATGGGAAAAAGACCTGTCACTTCTCAAGGAAACACTGAGCATTTAAAGAGCTAATATCATACTTAGAGAAACATACGTGGCCGTCACATTCCAAGCTAGACTGAAATAGGTGACGAGGTCAATGATGGAACAGGACTGGAATAGGTGATGGTGACAGTGCTGGAACAGGACTGAATTGAGTGACAATGAGGCTGCTGGAACAGGACTGGAATAGGACTGGACTAGGACTAGAATGGGTGATTATGAGATTGCTGGAATACCAGAGCCCATGTCCATTGCAGGGACACTTTCTCATGCTTCTCTGATGATCCTCTTCCCTAGAGTACCAGGTAGATGCCCAGCCACTGCGCCCCTGTGAGCTGCAAAGGGAACGTGCCTTTCGGGAGCGAGCAGACTATGTGCCCCAGTGCTCCGAGGATGGCAGCTTCCAGTAAGTCCCACTGCAGTGACAGAGGCCCAGAGTCCTAAGCGCCCTAAAGAGCATCTCGTGCCTTCTCCCCTCTTCCTGAACTGTACCCTTCAAATTCTGTACATGAGACATGGCTGGTGCCACTTGGAGGCATCCCCTTGCCCAGGCTCCCCAGGCTAATCAACACAGGACCAGTTGACTGACAGAGCCCCAGCCCCTGTTTCATCCTGGCATGGCCACCCCTCCCCTTCCTGCTAACACTCTTACTGCTTACCGTAATTGCTTTAAGATTTGTGTGTTGTGTGCAGGCGGTGGTCAAATGACCTATGCATTGGTACCTCCAGCTAGAGAAGTCAGGGTGGAGGATGCAGAGACTGGCTGGACCTTCCAGTCCAGGGCTGCCTCTGCCCCTGCCCAGACCAACTCTCTGGGCTTCTGGGCTGTTGTCTTTCCAATGGTCTCATCTCTGAAACGGATGTCCTAACACAGACGTAGGGCCTGGGAGCCTCTCTGAGGAGAGTGGGGTGAGAATCTAGACAGCTTATCCCTGCGGAGTCGACCAGCATCCTTTGTAAGGAGCATGCAACTGAGATTTTCCTGTGCGATGCCTGTCATGTTGAATCAGGGCACTCCTTTCAGATGACGGTGTTCTGGGAAACCTCCGTGACCTCCGTCCCTGCCGTCATCTTATATACACTCTTTACATGCCTAACCTCCGGAGAGCTCGCAGAGATGCTGCCAGTCCAGTCCCTGCTTGGATTGCTGGGAATTCTGGAACAGCAAGGAAGGAGTTAAGGAGGCTGTCTCATTCTAACTAGCCTTATTTATGTCACTATTCCCACGTCTCTTGTTCCAGCCACTTGCAATTTCTTTTCTTCTTTTTACGGCCTTATTACTATTTTTATTCTATTTTTTTTTATTTTTAATATATATTTTTTATTTTAAAATTGTGGGGTACAGTTAAGGGTTAGGTATACAAATATGCATTGTTCAGGCACCCTTGTTGATAAGGGGTGTCTCCCCATCCCCAGACAGATATTGACTGCCGTTAATCCCGCCTCCCTTCCCCTCCCGGTCTCCCCCCCCCATAGCTTCCCGCTACTGTCAATCCTTTTCTCATAGTATTACGGTAGTTGTTCAAGGTCCACTTATGAGTGAGAACATGTGATGTAGGAGGCTTTACATACACTGTTCCCCTTGCCTGGAACACCTTTCACCTTCACCCCCCTTTCCCCCCAGTCATCCTGCAGGTCTTATTTCAGTCACCACTTTTTCTGGGGAAGCAACTCCATGACCTGGACTGACCCCACCAGTGGGCTTCCCCACATAACCTGCTGGCCCCTGACCCAGTTCCTCATCCACATAGTGAGGGCATTGCCTTTGCTCTCAGCGGCCTCATAACAACGAAGGCCCCCCAAGTGAATGCAGCTGGAGCGATGCCCTTCAGGGTAGGATGCTTGCTTCGGGGCCGGAAGGCCACCTGGCTACGGCCGGGGCAGGGATAAGCGTCCACCAGGTGGGGAAAGTAGCATCTTTCCTCAAGCCATCCATCCCCCTGGCTCCACTCCACTCTCTCTGACTTAAATGAGCTAACGCTTGGAAGAATGGAAAGGAAAAAGGAAGGTGGCCTGGGCTGGAACCAGCGTGTGGCTTTGGAAGCCCACCGCGGTGTCTCTTGGTGTGTCTCCTCCTCAGAACCGTCCAGTGCCGGAATGATGGCCGCTCCTGCTGGTGCGTGGGCGCTAAAGGAGGGGAAGTGCCAGGTAGCAGGCAGGCTGGACGACCGGTGGCTTGTAAGTGAAAGGGAGTTGCCTGGTGGAACAGGAGGGTCCTTGCTAGGACTGCTCACGTCTGGCAATGAGCCCTGGGCTTGGATGGGTGACCTGGCAAGTCTCCCTCTGGGCTGCTTATTCCTCCCCTTTGAATAAGAATCATCCTTGCTCTCCTGCGAGGTCCTATTTCCTGTAGAACCTCTGGGAAATCACGTGAGGCAATCCAGTCATTTGTTCAGCAGATGACTACCTGGTTCCTCTCGTGTGCCAGGCATGGTGCCTGGTGCTGGGGAAATGATGGTGAACCAACATGCAAGGGTCCTGAGGTCAGAAAATGGCCATGGAAACAGGAAGTGCTTTCTCACCTGTGGTGTGAGGTGTTCTTCACATTTGGGATGTGGGTAAAAGCCATCCTGTTAAAATAATTATGATGGTCGGTAGTCAAAGAAACAGCCCCCATTTAAACAATGTCCTAAGCCCCAAATGAAGGTCTGCTTAAGTCAATCATCTTAGCGTGGTGAAACTGAACCCAAGACCAAAGCTTTTTTTTTTTGAGTTGGAGTCTCGCTCTGTCGCCCAGACTGGAGTGCGGTGGCCAGGAGTGGCCAGGAGTCGACCTGCTGGGCTCTGGTGATCCTTCCGCCTCAGCCTTCCAAGTAGCCGGAATTACAGGCACGCGCTACCACGCCCGGCTGATT